GTGGAGAGGGGGTTCACGGCCCCTGGCGTGCGGAGGATCCGGCTGAAGGAGGGAGGCGTAAGGGGCTCCCTCTTCCTGCCGCCGGGTGAGTGCCCCGCCCGGAGACCTTCGCCCTGGGGCCGGTGGGACCCGCCGGCTTCTCTGTCCAGAGCAAGGAAAGTCTCTTTTAAAAGAAAAAACATACAAAGGATATCACCCGGGAAATCCATATTCCATAATAGATCTGAATGCCGCCCTGCAGACAGGTGGCCGGTTTTTTTCCCTTATAATCTTACGGAGACGCTCCCAAAGGCTGGTCGGGACACGGCCCCGCTTGTGAGTGGCCACACTGCCTGGCCCTTATCGGCAGCACCGGGCAGGGCAGGCGCGGGCAGTTGGCTCTTGTGAGACAGGCAGAGGGTAAATGAGAATAGGGGTTGTAGAGATTACCGTGTCGCTGCTCTCGGTGTACGATTTTTCAGTAGGTTTGATGTTTGTTCTGGACTACCAGAATCCGTAACAGTCAGAAAAGCTGATAAGCTTCATCGTGTGAGCCTGTGCTAAATCTCCCAAGGATTTTACCCTGAGTACAATAGAATCGAAAAGGCATTTTTCTTCCCTGTGAAACACATGTCAGTAAGCAAAGCAGCGGAAGAGATTCTAGAAGATATAGGTATTCCACCTCTGTTATACCAGAGCCAAAGCTAAGTAAATAGTTGAGTTACTTTGGTTGTTCTGTGGTATAAAGGCAAAATAGATTTCTGAGCAAGTTCTGCCTGTTCTGCTTGTGGGATGATTGTGCTTTATGAGGTGTGATATTCTGATGGACTGCTAGTGTTGCTGGAAAATGAAACCTTACACCATGTTTGTACACTTGAGCCACGATTTAAACTTCTTGTATTTCCCTGAGTGTTGTGCTACTAGAACTGCCCTCCATATTACCTCTAATTTATAACGACTTGGTTCAGCAAATCCTGTAAGTACCACTACAGTTACTAGGGATTTAAGTATTTTCAGTGAATGATTTCCAAACCAATAATCTTTTTATCCATTTAGATACGGATCCAAAGTCCACTGAAGAAAAAACAACAGAGATTGAACTTTGAATTTTGGATCAAATGTTTAGTCAGCATTCTGGGTTTTCCATCACTGAGACGTGGTTGTTTTGATATATCCTGCCTTAGAGGATGAGCTGGATTTCTGCTGAGCTTAGTGGGAATCCAGAGAGCTGCAACATGGAACTGCATTTTTCCCTTTAGAAAGTCTGGCATTGTAATACAGTGGAAAAGTCTGTAATCATTGCTTAAATGATACTGGCATCCTTTTTGATGGAGGATCCAGTTACAGCATTACTATCATACCTTTCTTTGCTCCAGGGATGGAAAAAATCTTAATATTATTAAGATAGGAGTCTTAAATATGAACTGTTCTTAGTAAAAGTGAGATGATATGGGTGGGCCTATGCTGTAATTTTAAAATGAAAGAGATTTCTCAATTCAGGCATAAGAGTTACAGGTGTGGGGTTTTTTTGTTTGTTTTTAAGCAGTAAGAAAGTTGTCTAGCCCATTTTATCCCGCTTTTTAGCGAGCTATGCAGAAACTGTATACTTGGGCATGTGTAGGCACTCAGGAAGGCAGTCCAGGATCCTTGTCTAAGTTAAAGTTTGTCTTCATGAGAGAGAAACACATTGATGCTTGACTGCGTTCTGACCACATGTTCTTGCTAGAAAGCTTTCCAGGCAGGGGTGATGAATGAATGAATGAATACTTTTTTTTTTTCCTAGCCATCTAGGCTGACTGTTGTTAACTACAGGTTGCTGTTGATCATCGCATTATGATAAATTTATCTAGACATATTTTCTCTCAAGTAGAATATTGGACTTCTATGAAAAATTTCAGAACCGAAAGAAAAAGAACCCAAAGACATGTTTCAGTCCTTTTCTGACTTCCTAATGCTTTAAGTTAGGAGGTTTCCACCATCTAGCATGTGTTGTCCAAAACGTCCTTTTCTCAAGCACCTTGAAATGCCAGAGGTCTTTCCTTTATTGCATATAGGTAATGTCAGAGAGTTAATGCACTCTTGCACAAGCAGGTACTTTTTCTGCTGAGATAGTTGTAGTGAGCTGGATCCGAGTACATCAGTGGCGACATCTGGTGGTCAGGGGAAAAAAAGTAAAAAAAGAAATTGCCTGCCTGGGGTCTTTGTAGTTCCAAGAGGTGTATCCTTAGCCCTTTAACCCAGGAGCTGCTGGCATGGCATAGAGTAATATCGCAACACGACCTTGGCTGCAAAAGCATGCTCGTTTAAAACTGTGGTTCTGATTATTTCTGTAGTTTTGTGGGACTGATTGTATATGTGTATATGCATGTTTATCTGTCAGTCATGCACACATAACCACACCCATATAGCTCTCAGTTTTACCCTCTGTCTCTTCACATCTGCAGTAGCAGTCCTGCTGCCAAGTGTTACAGTGCTGATGTTGAGATAGAGCTAGTAAGTCCAGTTGATTTCATCTAACAATGGGTGTCTCTTTGCTGTGCTTTGCTCAATGCACCTTATTCCAGTGTTTGCGTAAGTTTTGTAGAATTTACTTCCAGGGCTCAGTGCTCTTGCCTCATTAGTAATGAGCTTGCACTTTGTTAATTAAGGTATGACTTCTTTGTGGGAAAATAGCTGATTTAGAGTATGATTGTTCTGAGGGCAGGAGGTTAAGACCATTGAAAAATACATTTAGAACAGGCTTTTTTTTAAAAAAGTTTAACTGTTCACATGTTTTTACAGGAAGGTAAGGACCTATTCTTAGTTTGAAATAACTAAAGTGGGATACAGCATTGGTTCTCTAATCTCTGCTGTGCAAATGGAAAAGTAATGAGTATTAATAGAAAATGTCTTAAGCCTTCTATATTTTGTTGTTCACTCTTCACCAGATAGTTTTTAGTGTCCTGTTTGATAACTTGTCTTCTGTGCCTCTTCTTTTTACTATAGGGGATGGCCCCTTTCCAGGAGTGATTGACATGTATGGTGACGAAGGAGGTTTGATTGAATTTAGATCCAGTCTCCTGGCTACCCATGGTTTTGCTGCTCTTTCTCTTCCATATTTTGACTTTGAAGATCTGCCTAAGGTCATGAAAGAATTCAAACTTGAGTACTTTGAGGAGGCAGCTAGATTCCTACGGCGTCACCCAAAGGTGAGTGTAATGAGAGAACTCTCAGGACGAGGGAGGATTTGGCAGTCATGCCCAAGTGGTGGCGGTGATTTTTTTTTGAGTATCAGTCTCTGCTGGGCAGGTTTAGGCCCAGTAATGGAAAAAGTGTAGGTCCTGCATAGGCGGCTATGCATATGACTGCAGAGAGTGAATTTCTTCCAGCACAACCTGTCTGCCAAACTGTCTGCCAAATAAATTCATGCTGGAAACCAGAAGATTCCTGATCATTAGAACAGTGAAGTGCTGGAATATCCTCCAAACAGAAGCAGTGGTGATAAAGATGTTTTTGTTTTTTTTTTTAAATGAAAGCAATTAGTTTAAGAGAGGACAATACAAAACTGCTCAATAGTCGGCGAAGGAATGGATTTGATGACTTGGGATGTTGCTTTCAGTTTTACTTTCCAGGCTAGAAAAGGACAAGACTAATACTACTTACCTAATCCTTCAAATGTCATTTGTGAGGTTACTTTATTTGCCTGAGACATATATAGCAACAGACTGTGCTTGAATTTCCTGCTACCTGTTTTGGGAAAAAGAGAAAATACTTGGTTCAAAATATGCAGTAGGGACTAGGTGAGGTCCAAGTGATGGTACTTCTTGTGCCATTTGTGTGTTATTTTGTGGGGTTTGACAACTCTTGTTGTCTCTGAAAAATAAGATGCTAAACAGAGGGAGGAACCTGGGTCCAGGCTGTAGCTTTCCAACAGGTCACATCAATAATTAACTTAACCTTTTTTTTTTTTGTAATAACACAACTCCAAAGGCATTTAATGGCTAATCCCATTATAATGCATACTTCCTTTATTCCTTTCTTCCCCTCTTTTCTTCCCCCCTTCCCCCCCCCCCCCCCCCCCCCCCATCTTATCTGAAGGTGAAAGGACCAGGAGTTGGAGTGATTGGGACTGGGAAAGGGGCAGAATTAGCACTCTCCATGATCACCTTCCTGCCAGAAGTAGTGGCTGCTGTCTGTATCTCCGGCTGTAGTTCAAACACAGTTGCAGACCTCCATTATGGTGAGATCACTCTGCCTGGGCTGCGTTTTGATATTAATAAGGTCAGTGTTTCTGACGCTGGTGTATTTGACACTTTTGAAGCTCTGGATGACCCAAGGAATCCTGCTAATTCTCCTTGCACGATCCCCATTGAAAAAGCAGAAGGTCACTTTCTCTTAGTGGTAGGGGAAGGTGATCGTATGTGGAAGAGCTCCTTATATGCAGAGCTGGCAATCGGGCGTCTACGCCAGCACGGGAAAGAAAACTTTGAACTCTTGAGTTATCCAGGAGCAGGTCACCGAATTGATCCTCCTTCTACTCCATTTTGTCAGGTAGCTATGGATCGTGTTCTGGGGGTGCCTGTTCTGGGGGGTGGAGAGAGCAAAGCACATGCCCATGCACAGGAACACTCCTGGGGAAAGATTCAGGAGTTTCTGCGCTTGCATTTGGGATGAACACTTAAGCACCTGCAAGCTGTTGCGGAACAGCAGAGGACTGAGCTTGAGCCACCAAAATGACTGGTGAATTGGAGGGACTCACTGAGAAAAGCTTTGAAATATGAAATAACCAAATGACTACTTAGCTACAAGTATAAATCCAAAAAGAAAGGGATTTATTTGGACTAGCCTAAGTTATTTTAACTAGGTACACAGAGGAGAAGTGAAACAATGATAAGTAGGCTGCATTGTAGTACAAATTTGACAGCCTGAATTGGTCATGATATCAAGAAACAAGTATCTGAAGAGAGGAGTAGGTACTTTCTTGCTTGCAGTATTTATGGCTTGGAGAATTTAACAGCTAGCCTGCACCCTCAGCAATGACAGACGGGATCACACCTGGGGAATGATGGCAACCCATGGATGATGAACTTTGACATCAAAATGATGAATGATTCTGGCTTTGGGTCTTAAGTTACCTTAGCCCAGAACTCTCAGATTTACAGCCATACACACTTAAGAAATGTTTTCTATTTACATGAAGCTGGGGATATCTATTTGTAATGAGGTTCGTATACCTTGACCTTAGGTAGTGGTCTTCTGGTGACACAGTCTGTTTCTTTCCAACAAAAAATACCTGTAGAGTGGGAAAATGAAGAGTACTTTTCCTGTCACCCAGGAGAAAGGCAGCACTAGCACTGTCTTGCATTAGGGATGTAACCATCTGTTCCTATATTGTCTTGGATTGGCATTCGACACTCAGGGTATTAAAATTCTGTTGGATAGGTTAAAGCATGGTTAAATGCAGTTATGCTATGTGCAAGTCTTACTTCTCTCTTTGTTGCTTGTTTAAAACTTAGTAACACCTGCCACTAAGTTAGGGGTTAATTACTTGTGGAACTCTTTAGTAATGATGTCGACGAATGCTGACAGCTGTTCTTAGGGAGGGAGAGAGAGAAGGGGTCGCGAGGATAAATTTTTTAGCCAGTAGAAGATTAAGACTGACTGTAAAAAGCTGTCACCTTATGGCGGTGATTAACTTAGAATCATAATCCTTAAAAAAAAAAAAAAACAAAACCCCAAACAAAAAACCCAAAACCAACAACCCCCCCACCCCCCAAACCCAAAACAAAAAAAACCCCAAACCCAAATATAGGATATGTTTTCCATGACTGCCTGAAATTGTGGGTGGGTTGGTTAGTTTGTTTTTCATCCTAATTAATTAATTTTTGGCTAGTGCCTTATTTTTCCCCACCATTCAGGTAGAAAGAAACAACTTCTTCCCAAATGAGTTGATCTCTGGAGAGGGTCTTGCTGGAATGGTGCCAGTGCTGAGGGCCTGTTTAACAAGGGCCTCTAGCAATACAATTTCTCCTTCCAAGGTCATTTTGTCAGACCAGTTTGAGAGCTGCCCAGGAAGATACAAAACCTTCATTTATGGTACTCAGTTTTGCTTTGCTCTCAGGGATCTTTTCTCTCCAGTTAACTGTCATTATGCTGCTGCTCAGGTCTCATTAGCTTTCTGCAACTCTTATTACTCCTTATCATTTGATTGAAGTCACATGTTCTCCACACGCCATCACTGCCAATTGAACAATTTATCCATCCACTCCTTACAAGAGAAGCTCCGTCCTGCTCGTTCCACACAAAATGTCTTCATGCCTAGTCTCTCTAAACTCCCTCACCAGCTGAAGAGGCTCTTGCAGAGTCGTATCTGGCGCTTGAACCTCCACTAAAACTGGCAGCCCCAGGAGTCCAGGACCACAGCCTGCTGCGTGATGTGCATGTTGGTGTCACCTGTGCTTGTACCCTGCCTTTTTTCCAAACGCACTCCAAGTTGCAACCATAGAGGAAAGGGTTGTCTGAAGGTTCCTCCGTTTGTTCTGTCTGCCTCGTCATATGCATCTTCAGCTGTCAGAGCTGTGTAATTGGGGTACAGCAGCACCTCCTCCAACCCCGTTTTGTTACCCTCCTGGTACTGATTCCTGTGTCTCCACACTGCAGTCCTACCTCAGCATATCCATTGCCGTGCAAGATTGCAAGCCGGAGGTTCAGGAAGTAAATGTTAAGTTGTAAATAAAACAAGAACCAGGTAGCGTAAAAGCCCTCAGGCTTTGTTTCTAAAGCACAAGCCTTTAAAATAATTCAGTGTTAGATGTTGTCAGATATATGCAATTTGAAACGGAAGTAAAACGCTCCTTTATTAAAAAGCCTGTGTAAGAACTTGATGTTATATTTTTGTTTCTGAATAGTTCATTTGTTCAGAAAGCTGAATGATCTTTTTTAAACAAAGAAAGGAGGAAAAAGAATGTAATTTTACCGTGAAGATCCTTTTGTGAACAGGTCGGGGTATTCCTGGATAACATAATTCACAGAAGGGTCTGTAAAACACCAGCCAACTTTTGCACTAGTGTTTTGTATATTTACAATGCCACGTGGAGACCAAAGATAGGTTGCAGGCACTCCGCAGGTAGCTACTGTAGCTATTTCCTGAAGTGCGCATTAAACTGAGTGCCCGACTAGGGCCTTAGTTAAAGCCATGTTATTTACATTGTTTTGCATTCCTTACCTGGCAAAACCACTGCTTGTGTGGCTGGATGAGCTTCACTAGCTAAATCTGGGGGGGCCCGAGGCCCGGCTAACCCTGGGGTTCCGCAGCACCCAGAGACGGCCCTACGGCTCGTGCTGGGTCTGGCAGAGCTCTGGCCAGCCGCCGCTCGCAGGGAGCGGCCGGCACAGCCTGGGCAGCTCCTGCGGCACCGCGATGGCCTCCCACGGGCGCTGGGGCCAGCTTTGAGTGGAACGAGTAGCTCGGAGCGGCGGCAGGCAGAGCCCCCGGCACCGGGGGGGGCCTGCCGGGGGCAACAGG